TTTATTAATATTGTTAATTTATTTGGTACCTACTATAATTACCACGATTATTACTCCGTTTTCATAAGGCCCACCTAATGACTACAACGATTAGGTAAATTACGATATTGCAAAGTTTTAATGAAATAAATAAAAAATGTGTATGAATATTTTAACTAATTGTACTAATAATTTTTCTTTCATTCTTAACCCTCTCAAAAATGAATAAGCACGCCCCCGATTTGCTGTCAACTGGGCTTACTTCTACTCTCAGAATAGTTACCTACAACCTTTTGCTAACGTTTAATGCAAAAGAAAAATGCAAAATTCAATATTTACAGATTAATGAGTTTTGGATACACTACAATAGTAAATAAAGCAACTTTTTTATGCCTGAAACCTTTATTGTAATGTTGACACATATTTAAACGTAGGTAAATTAACGTAAATCTAATCCGTCAAAGTTCATGTCGAAGGATAAGAATGACAGTTGCATCTTTATCTTGCCACAAATTATGGCTTTAGGTAAAACTAGTTTAATATCTTTCTTATCTACATATTGCACGTCTGGAACATCCGGAAGTATAAATTTCCCCAGCATTTTTGCACTTCTGCGCAAAAAACTTACACGGACTTCGTCCTGTGAGTTTTCTTCTTCCAAGACTTGTGCAATGTAATAAACCTTAGCACCCTTGGTGTTAAATTCGACGAGAAGATATTCATTTGTATTTGGAGATTTTACCAATTTTCCAAATTGAAGAATTGCTTTGTTGGGGAGATTTTCTTCAAATCCTTTGTTACTGTCACTATCTTCAAGCACCAAAGACACTTCTGACTCTGATGAAGAGGAACTCTCTAGTGCTACCTTCTTTTTAATAGTTTTATTTTTCTTCACAGAATCTTCTCTTTCTTTGACTCTTTTCTCTATCTCTTCCTTCTCTGGGGTGTCTGTCGCTATCATGCATTTACCCTTTCTCCTAGCACGCAGCTGAGTTCTTGATTTTGCTTTAGGAAAGCCTCGAATTTTTGTTCAGGGGATTTAAATGTTGAATCAATTTTTTGAACACCATTAGTGGTTGATCTAAATTCTACAGCGAATGATTATCCTGGGTAAATGATCCATTCAAGTCTTTTAGACCGTTGGACTTGTGGACGGTAGTGAGCTGGCATTAGTTGCTGCTGCCTTCAATGGCCGATCTGTAACAAAACTACCTAAGAAGTCTGCATTAATAAATATGTCCCGATTATAGGGAGCTATTCCAGTAGCTTTAAATGCATTAGTGATAGTTCCTGGATAGTTCCACGCACTTTTCGTGCGCCTGGCCAACGCAGTGAGCTACTTCGTAAATAGACATCGTCTGCCCTGGGTGGTGCATCATCCAACTGTCAATTGCTCTGGAATAATAGGCTTGAAATGCTTTAAAAACCCCAACATCCAGAGGCTGGAGTTTGTGGGTTGAGCTTGGGGGGAATGTGATCACTGTTATACCATTTTCTTTCGCGATGTTCATAGCAGACAGATAAATATGACTCTCGTGATTATCGTACAAAAGCATGGACGGATTTTCTTTGGAACTATTACTATGCTTAATGAAGTGTTTCAGTACATCTACGAACAACTCATTGTTCATCCACCCGGATTTCGAAGCCAGCCCTAACATTCCGGGAGGAGCACCATGTAGCATGTGTGGTTTGAAGTGCACTCTTGGAAAAATCATAGCGGGTGGTAACCAAGTGACAGCTGCACTAATAATGCAACACGTAGTCACCAAGGTCCCTCTCTCTGCATTAGTCACCTTACTGACTTGACGTGACCCTTTCAAAGCAACAACCTTGCCTTGTTTATTTTGAACTGTCAGTGCAGCTGTTTCATCCAAATTGAATACTCGTGTTCCGCCCATGAAATGCGGATTCCTGGAATAAACATCTGCCAACTTATCAAAAAATAATGACACATTGTGCTTATTGAAAGAGGATGCTCGGGAAAGAGAACATCCCTCAGGTCTTCGTAAAGATAGGGTTGGATGACGCCGCATAAATCCCCGCATCCATTTTTCCTCTGCCAATTTCTGAACTTACCAATTTTCTGGCACACGAATGTTGTTTTCTATGGCCATTTCGTAAGTCACTTGTCGACATTCAAGAAGTGGAAGACCATAAAACATTTGAGCACATTTGGTAATATAATCGGCAAGGCAGTTTTCCTGGTCTCTATCAAAGATTTTACTTACTTCATAATTTGGAAACATGCTAATTTTTTCCGGTGAACTTTTTTGTTTCTTAACATATCGTGCTAATGTTTGAAAAGGGACATTTTTTAAAACTGTCGCTTTTCTTATAGAAGGACTAATTGAACAGCTTCATCAATTGACACTTCATCATTTTTTGAAAGCTTCTGACCTTTTCTTGATTTTTTAGGTTTTCCGTCCATTTTGAACTCAGTAAAAAATATCATTACATCCAAAAGCTACCAACAGTGAGACATTTTTGGCCATCATTGAGACATGTCTCACTGTTGGGCGTCTCGGTGTTGGCCAGTGTTATAATTTTTTAAACAACTGAACCCAAACTATAAATCGAGGTTTTAATTTTATTGAACCACTTTGCAACAATGCTAATACTATACACATAATGGTCGACAAATTACTCTTTTGTAAAGAAACAGTCTATTAGGGTAGTTCGGGGAGAGATGACTCGCCTTGTTATTTTTTTTATAACTTCCATAACTACAGGGTTTAAAAAATTTTGATCATTTATTGTCCAAAAGAAAACATATTTACTATTAAGGTAAAAAACAACAAAAGAATACNAATGGATCATTAGTTATTGGACCTATTTTGACCTGGCAGACCAGACAATCTAGAGGGACACAAGGTAATATGTCCAGTGGGGTCCAATAACTAATGGATCATTAGTTATTGGACCTATTTTGACCTGGCAGACTATTAGTTATTGGGCCCACTGGACATATTACCTTGTGTCCCTCTGGATGCTCCGATCTGCCAGGTCAAAATAGGTCCAATAACTAATGGTCCATTAGTTATTGGACCCCTCTGGACATATTACCTTGTGTCCCTCTGGATGCTCTGGTCTGCCAGGTCAGAATACATCTGTTAGGCTCGTTAGGGGGCTATGAGGGGTCGTTTCTCAAGAGTCTTAAGGGGCTGTGGTAAAACTTCGGCACAGTAGAAAGCTGTAGAAACTTCGAAAAGTTGAAGTGAAACCTCACAAGAGAAATTGTTGCCTCGGACAAAGCGACAAATCAGCTGTAGCCGAACATTTTCTCAAAAAAGTATGATGAAGTATTCCGCAGTAGTAGACGAAATGTCGGGCATAAAAACCTGCAGGTCTCAGCCCCATAAAACCCCGAAAATAGCTTTGACACAAGTTACTATCATCAGGAGATAACTATAACTAGTTCTAAGGTGACTAGAATATCATGTCCATATGGTGCTAACTTGGTCAGCGAAACGGGCGTTGAGAGACACTTTTGTTTTGGTGTGGGAAAAAGTGATTTTACAGATTCAATTCATGTCAGAGGAAATTAATTATCGAACTTCCTTGACAACAAATATAACCATATATTTTATTATAGTACGATATTTTCACTTTTGTATAAAGGTGTAGATCATATACTCGTTCAAATATTTCTAACTACTTTCAATTCGGATTACGCGCAGTAACATCATTTTATCATCAGCATTATAAAAAGATGATTCGCTGAAATTTTTTTGTACACGTTACCAATATCTGACAGTGGGAAAAATAACTTGTTCTTCACTTCAACTACTTACTGTTCAAAGTTTTATCAACTATGAGCTTGACACTATCCAAGTTCTTAGCCAACTCATTAACATTTTCATCAATTGGAGTCATATTCAAATAAGGATTATTTGGAATGTCGAGTCTAGGAACTTTTTTAGCAATTGCGATTGTTCCTCCAACTCCTCCAATGAACGCAGTGGTAGATTCCAAGTCACGTTAGTTCACGACGTTTCGATTGTTGGTATCCACAATCGTCTTCGGGTGATGACTTGTTTCAGGGATTTCAAATCATTTTATATAGTAGACAATGGAAGTCCGAACTAGTGAAATTCATCACGAAACATTGTCAATCACCTTCAAACATCATTCAATACGTTTCGTGTAGTTGAATGAGGCCTAAACCAAACTTACCGATAAAAATACCACTTCCACCAGACCCACTTCTGGGATTATTACCACCAGCAGCAAGTAAATTCACATTATTTTCATGCGCCCACATCTGTTGAGTTTGAAGAGCTGAAATTATTGTTTTTGTGAGTGATCAATTTCAAAAATAATTTAACCATATTATTATTATCAAATTATGTTGACATATTTGAAAACATACAGAAGAAATCTAAAGAAATGAACTTTAAATGTTCAAGCCAGTCTCGGATATACCTACACAGTAGGTTGAATGGACTGACGCCTTTCAGAAAACAACTACTCCCCTGGCTTATACCACGAACGGCGATGGATTTTATCCGACAGGCGTCAGTGCAGGAATCTTCACAGAAAATTTCCTACATATGTAATTGGCAATACAACTGAAAGAGTCGACCCTCAATTTTGGAACGGGCACACTTGCAGACCGGTTTCGGGCTCCTTAGACACTCGTCAGTACAAGATAGTGGTCATCATCGACCTAAAGTCAACGATATTCCATAATTGAAAATCGGAATTCTTTCAGAGTATTTTATTCCTCTTCCTAAGTTGGAGCGAACAACGAAATGTCACTCCATCTAGTGGACGAGGTACTAACCAACTGCATATCCGAAATTTGTCCGATTCCTCTGAATAAGGAAGATAAACTTTCTTATTAGTCAGTGGGCTATGCGTTTAAAGTTCATTTCTTTAGATTTGTTTACTGCCAGTCATCAATCATAGCCCACTTACTAATAAGACAGACAGAAGAAAGGAGGCATAACCTGACCTAATAATTTTAAAACTTTCAGTTTGTTCTGAATAATTTCATCATCTAAACATACAATGCATAATTAATTAGTTTCTAACAACTGTTTGTCCCCTACTCTTTTTTGATAGGTATTCAAAATAACAATTATTGATGATATAAAGCAGTGGTTATGGTGGTTATAATTGCATGTTCCAATGTTCTAGTTAAGTCATGTTCACCTGTTAAATATGGCAGTTCCGAAAACCAGTGGGTTGGAAAAATGATATTCTTAATCGCCAGATCTCTCGTTAAGTTCAGAGCAGGAACATTGAATAGTATATCGAAACATGTGAATATACCAAAAGTATTATTATTTTTGGTAGTTATCGTTACCAGTTCTGCAGTTGGTGGTACACTAAGTTGATATTCTCCATACAAATTCCACTTGCGATACCTGCGAAGTAACATGAAATTTTGAGGGAAGTGAAGAATCAATCAAAAACAAGATCCATGGAAATAAAATTTTCACATCATTAGATTCAATTAAGACTATTTGCAGATATGTTTTTCAAACTACTGTCCAAATGCGCCTTGGGAGGAAAGGCCTAGAACACCAAGAAAGAGAGAGAGCACTTTTGAATTAATTAAGGTAAGAGATGGACCTTCAGGTCAATCATTTTTTGAAATGAGTTGAAGACCAGCTATAGAATTTGTACACGTGTCTTTCAAAGGTTAGGATTGACTGAAAATCATATGGCGCCATCTTTGTGTTAGCCTAAGAACTATTCAGCCCATGACATTGTAAAGAAAACAAATTATTTCGAACTGATATGGAAACTAATAGGCTGAAAAAAATGTGTCTATCAATTAATTCGTCTAATTAGTTTGCACTAACCTGCCAGAAACAAATCCGTTTCCATCAAACGCTACGTTGGTATTATATAAAACGATTCCCGATGAGGGACAAAATCCTGTGGAATTGTTTGAAGTGCAGTTTTCTTTCTCCACAGTATTGATAACAATCGTAGTGTTGTATTTGACTGCAGCACATGATAATTCCTTTAAATAATCCTTGTATCTTTTGTCAGTTGAATTACAAAGAATCACTTCGAAAGGTTTAGGCACTTCACTGTAAAATTCTGTTTCATTTACAAATGGTGTTAATACCGATTCTGGAAATACTATAATATCCAAATCCTTAAAAAAACAACGATATATTTGTTGGTGCTGTACAAGCTATTTGCATAACATCTTGTATATAGTACATTTTAATCAGTTAATTAAAACATAACAGAAGTAATTTGTTAGATATATAAAAAAATATAGAGGTAATAGTTTTTGAACAATCACTATTTCTTGTACCAAATGTTCGACCTAACACCCATCAATGTTGTTATAAGTTAAAATACAGTATTTCTTACTGTTTTTTTCTGTATGAAGTATGGTATATAAAGTAAATTTTCCCCGAAAAGTTACTTCATAACTTTTCAGTTTGCCCTTATTGCACTTCAACAGATTCTCAATTGATTTAGCTTTGTTCATTTTTCAGATTGTGGAAGTAGGTTATATACCTCAAAAAACAATAAAATGTATTTTGAAGACTATGCAAAATGGAGTATACGCCAAAAATCCTGATACGGTTAATATCTCCATTGTCCGCAAACTGATTTTTTAAAATTTTGAATATATATACATTACTGTACGTGCATATATCGGAAATGTTGGCGTATCCGTAGAGATTGTGTATAAAATAAATTTTCTTACTAGTTCAACTTTCTTCAAGAGATCGATGAAACTTTTTGTTCTTGCTTCAAGCCTCTCTTCTGGGGTGAGAGAAGAGTTATCTACTGGATGATACTCGACAACAGCTGCGCCAAATGTGTATTTATCTACCTCGTTCTAAAAAGAATAATAATAATATCGCTTAGCAAGTTATAATTATAAATGTCAAACACTTTGAAAAATGAGAAAGACGTATATAGTTAGGATAAAACTGAAAAATGTATCATTTTATCAAAAATTGTTTTTGCGACCGATATACGAGAAATCCTCAGCAGTATTTTTAAAACATCAGCGACCTAATAGAAGGTTAGGGTCTTACCATTTGACGTTGGATTCGATGCGCACGACGAGAATTTTACGTAATAAATATAATTCTGCCTTAAAATGGCGTTTTACATAGTTAATCTTGAAAACATAATATTAAGTTTCATTTCAGAAGCAATAAATTTTTATTTAATACTCATGTTGCAGCGAGCATCAATCAAAATGCTGTATGACGTCACTTGCTCGCAAACATCATAACTTTCTAAGGCTTGATTAACATTTTTTGTAGTAATTTTCGAACAATTCCGTTCAACTTACTACTCATTCACGATCCTGAAAAGTTTTCTAAGAGAAATCCTCCATATAACTGATATCATTGTAAATTATCCCCTGAAAAAAAATACGCTGGCCGCCGCTGGGATTCGTCATTTGACTGTGACTTGGAAAAAGTTGCGCTCAACTCTGCTTGTTCTTCTCGATTGTTGTAGGTGTCGAATAGCTTCGAGAATATTTCTATCGGCTTCCGAAGACTTCCATTGGTATATATAAGCACTACCAACAGGCAGATGGGGCTAGTCTAGTTAAAAGTGCGGTACGAAGTGAGCTAATGAGGCGATAGAAATTTTGAGGATTAGTCTGAAGTTCAGTTGAAGTTTGTGTGTTGTATTGGCGGTGTACTTTTTTTTAAAGGACAAAACACAACCACTACAGAAAAATCCTTGAGGTGCGAACGTAGCGATTCGCGTTAGATTTGAATCGCTGGAGGTTGAATTCATTTGGAAAAACGTTTATTCCACATAAACGTCTTTCTCCAAATGAAAGAGTTCTTAAATCTTAATCCTTGACAATTTGAAAAATAATAACGTTTATTATTTAAAAAATATCTTCAAAATGAACTTCACAGAACTTCTTTGCCATACAATACCGGTCAACTGAAGCATATTTTCTTCACGTGAAACGTTAGTAAAAGTGGTTAACTTGTGTTTTAAGTTTCGTTGATGTTGAGACACCGTACAACACAACACACATCTGTATATCTGTTTAAAATCTGTTTTTCCGTTAATCAGCTGTCGCCCCCATACGAACGACAACTCTCAGAAGTTGAGAAACTTGTGCGAGCTAAGGACTAACGAGGTCTTACCTTTTAACGTGTGATTCCTAACACGGTTGCAGAATCATCCCAGCTTCAACCAGATACATTATCTCGAGAAAAATATCTGGCCGAGGCGGGAATCGAACCCACGGCCTTCCCATCGTGAGTCGGGCGCACTACCACCGCGGCCAATTCCACAACGGCACAACACAACAAAAAACATGGAATTCATCTTTTGTTAAAAAAATTAAAACTTTTCGAAAAATAGTCAATATCCCAATTGTCCACTGGTTTTCTGAAGGGTTAGAGAGAAAGTGTTTCTATTTGTCTTTACACAGTTTCCCGGTTGTCGAGGAAAGTAGGTATAGACTTGGAAAGGACGTTTTGGGATGCAATCTCCCATGGAGATGCATCATTTTTGGGTTTCAGCATTATTATTATTATTCGTCTCGCCAGGAGCTGAAAACTCCAAAACAAATATCGTCTTGCTCTGATGGCCGGGAAGGACTACATCAGGCTTATTAGCTTCTAAGAACCTGCAGGTGGGGAACGAATAGCTCCAATTAATTCGGCACTTCTCGTTCTCCACAACGGATTCAATCTAGAGCGTAGGGCAACACCGGTGTCTCGTCAATACCGTAAAAGTGCCGCAGATGGTAACTCGTAGGGCCGTCTTATGTCGACGTATACAGGCTGAGACCGTCTATGCTGGACATGCTGACAGCAAGTGCGTTCGGGTCTTAGACGCCTCGCGGTAGGTCCTGCACCTTGTCTCGGGAACCTCTATACCCATCACGCGACTGCGGTGTTGAAGACACCATTCTAGCAGGCCAAGATATACCCCGCAATTTCCGATTCCAGCCCACTCGACCTGAGAAAAGCGATGGTCTGACGCTTTGATAAGCCGAAGTCTTCGATGTTGTTGAATAAGAGCTTGTCCTTGTGTTGCCGCAGGAGTGAAGTGATCTCTACGGCTTTTATAGGTAAGGGCTTTTCGCTGGACGGATTCCAACTGCCCCGATCACAATTCTGATCACGATTATCAAAAAAGAATGGTGAAGCCATCAATCGAATTCCAAGAAAACTCGAACCATACATTTTAAAAGGACTGCTGAGGAGTTTACACATATGCTGCATTCTATAATAATAATACCATTAATGAGATCTATGGTAACTCTCAAAACACCGACGTCTGGTATTTGCCTTGTGTCCTAACGATTATTATTAAAAATATCAAAAATATCATATAAGTTGAAAATGATTTACTTACCGCTGAATTAATCACTGACTTTGCACTCAGTAAAATTATTATGAGAGGAAATATTGCCTGTACTAGTAAATTCCCCATAACTGCAAAAAATGTGATTTATTATGTAATTCGCTCGTTTGTCGTGTTTTATTAATTGTTTATTGTCTGTATTGAATCAACGCCTCTATGAAGTGTCGTGTAAGTGAAAACAATGATGTCACCTCAGAAAAAGTGAAACGTTCGAAATTATCTAAGAATTTGGGTATCAGCCAAATTATCAAAAATAAAAAAAACCTTCCTGCAAGATTATATCTCGACCATAAAATATTTTAGATAAAAGATACTCTATATTACCGATGCCTTTGAGTATATACAGGGTACAGCGTGATGACCGTCGGTTTTCCTTATTTTTGAAACCGATCGTCAACAATATATAGCTATTTTTCTGCGACGGGAAAAAAGTTTGACATTTTATCTCTGATGACAGCACTGCCAAACGTTCTAAACACTTTATTAGTGCACAAAGTCTCTATCGATCCATAAGTTTCCCCATATTTTAGTTATTTATTTTAAAAGATTTTCTCTAACAGAAAGATTTAGAGGCAAGTTAAATGTTGCCATCGAATTTCCTCTAGATGGATTAGATATGAACAATTATGCAGCAGATAATCTGACTCCTTGTCGCTATAATCTATATGCACTTTCGAATCACAGTGGGTCTACCTACAGCGGACATTATACAGCATTCTACAGACAGCCTTATACTGGCACGTGGCACGAATACAATGATTCACAAGTGTCTCCAATTTCACCAAAATCGCTTGTAGCGGTTGAAACTTTTGGTGTTTATGGCCCGGAGTCTCTGTTATTCGTTCATGAACTTGGAAGGAGAATAGGCCAAGCAACGAAAGATCACCGTTCTACCTCTTTTTTGATAGAAAGAATTAGTATTGCTATTCAACGTGGCAATGCTGCTTCAGTACTTGGAACTATTCCTCTTTCACTTTTCAATATTAAATCGTCGTTTTTCCCGTCACAGAAAAAAATTGTACCTATATTATACACGGGAAAAATATTAGATTTTAGCTCTCGGTTTTTTGTCTCCCTCCACTTCGCATCGGGCTTAAATCTAATACTCTTTTCCCTCGTATAATAAATAACTGTTTATGATACGAGTGTTAAAAGTGAGGTTTTATTTTGTGAGAGGAAAAGTTTGCCAAACGAGCGTAGCGAAAACACATTTTGACATCTCTTGTCAGTTAACTATTTTCATGTTATCGCATTTGCTGTAAAGTAGCCTTATCAGGTGACGCTGAATCATCTGGTTATTTCTCTTCTACATAAGCTAAGAAGACAGTTTCGCTGCAATTTCCTTTGACGTTTTTAAGTCTACACCAGCTAAGAAAATTCGAATATATGCGATATCGTACTGCTGAGCCGATTTTTTTGGTAACAATTCATAGTTCTTTAATTTGAGGATTGATAAACTGGGGCACATCTTTTCATATCTTGAGAATTTTTAAAATTCAAAAAAGAGCAATCAGAGCTTTAGCTGGAATACGTCAAATGGAGAGCTGTAAGAATTGGTTTATTAAGTTCAATATATTAACTCTGCCATCATGTGTAATATACTGCAATTTGATACATATTCAAGAAAATTTACAAATAAATTGTATGATATTTGTGTTAACAGTTTTATTTTGTTCGTGGAATTGTTCAACTACCTAAACTCGTTTCGCAAACTTTTTCACTCTTATCAGAAATAGCTATTAATATGTGGATGTTTTTGAAGTATTCTCAAAATGGAACGCTACAGCAGCATGTTGAAATAAAAAAATCTCACCTCATTTGTAATTCACGCGTGAAGATAAAATATTGTCTGTGATAGATAATGGAATGGAATGGAAATATCAAATTTTTCGACTTGATAATTCATTGAGATTCAACCTTGAAGGCATTATCAAAACATACATGTACTTTGCACTTACGAATATTAATCTCGGCAATCGGTTAAGTCTGAAAGGGACCTTCANAGGAGCCATGAGAAAAACTCCAACCGCGGAAAAAGAATTAATCACGGGTCTGACCCCTCTTGATTTGTACGTTAAGGAGGTTGCGTTAATGGCCATGGTACGATTGCGCACGGCTGGTGTAAACTTCGAATTAGGATTGGGGTCAATTGAGGCTGGGCCTATGGCGAGAAGCGCTTACTGGGCAACCTCTGCTGCAGGCAACAAGCCAGGTTTGTGTTTGATAAACCCCACAAAATACAAATTAAGCAAAACATAGAGTCAATCTGTTTGGACCAGCGTGGTCCAAACAGAACTGGCTGGTATCTCAATCGCCACAAAAGAAATAACCAGGAAGTGAATTTCTGGCAAAAACATAACAATCTGCGCTGATAGCAGACAAGCCCTATTAGCCTTGAACAGACGTGTTACCTCTGGGCTAGTTAGATTGCCACCAAGATTTAGCCAAAGCCTTGGTAGATAATAACATTATCTTGAGGTGGGTTAAAGGGCACGGCAGGAGTAAAAGCTAATCGCATTGCCGACTCTTTAGCCAAGGAAGCGGCTGGACCAAGAATTTTAGGACCCAATGGCACCTAGGACCTGATGACTTCGACAATAGCGGAAATAGCCAAACGTTACACCCATGATCAATCTCTAAAGAGATGGGATGGAATCAACGGATGCAATCTCGCCAGGATCACCTTGGGCGACCCTGGGAAGCTGGCGTCTAAGAAATATCTGGCGATGACCAGGAAAAATCTATGCTCAACAGCGGTATTTCTGGCTGGCCACTGTCAACTAAGGAAACATCTCCATAATATGGGGCTAGTGGTCACACCTCGAGCAGGTTGTGTGAACAGGAAGATGAAACTGTCAGGCATGTCCTATGCGAGTGTCCGGAATTATCGTCAATAAGAGAGTGTGTATTCGGCTAGTCTTGGCCTACACCTGCCGATATAAAGGAGATGTCTGCCAGTGACCTGTCCACCTTCCTGGAAAGGGCAGGATTGGCGATGACCTAGGAGGACAACTCCTCGGGAAGGTATACAATGGGTCACATGTGGCCTAAGTGCTGTGGGCCTACACTCGCTCTCCCTACTCTATAGATACCCACTTAACCTATATTGTATTGTTAGGTTAGTTTAAATTTGTGTCTATTGTATACTTTTTCTGTATCTTTCTTCACCTTCTGAAGAAGCCAACTTGATTGGGTGAAACACGCGTTGAGAAGAGTGTTGCATTTCTGGTGGTTGGGAGAAGTACTTATTTTGGTTTCATTTCCCATCTAAATAAATGATTCATGGAGGAAGCCATGAATAACTGGGAAAAAAGGGTTCAACACGGCAAGACCCACACATTACCTTGACAAGGCTTTGTATAACGAAAAAGCGTCCGGTGTCTCAAATGTTCTGTTAATGACACTGAGAAGGCTCAGAACAGATACACGCACGTTAGGATTAGACGTCATTCAGGAGGAATCTTACCTTGACCTCTGTCATTAGTTGCTGCTCATTAGTATAGAAATGTCTTGTATAATCAACAGACGTTCATCCCACAAAACAGAAAGAAGGGAAAAACTAGTGAGCCAGTAACAATCACTGCAAGACACCAGAATACAAAATGTCAGTCTTTGAATCTGCTATCCTGAATGCTGATTTTAAATTTGATATATTTCCTAGGAAATTAATAACTGAATATTCTCAAACTGTAATAATGAATTTATTTGAACATATATACAAATTATTGCTTTTACAAGTTACAAAATAAATTATTGCAAAATTTTTAACATGCATAAATTGCAAATAATACCCACCTTCACAAAAGGCATTTGAACTACTTTGGTAACAATATAAAATGGTTTATCTAAATAAACCATATATTATTTGAGTTATCTCCAAAATTAAAAAAAATAGACGCGTATTTTTTGAATGAGGAAACATATTTTTGAATTAATGGAAAAGTATAGAAGCATAGTTTTTTTGTATTTCAAAGCCTGATTCATATTTTTCCGATTGTGGAAATTACGACATAAAATCCGAATTTTCAACTCCAAACACGAAATCATATCCTCCAACTGTTTACTCGGAAATTTAGTCATTGTTCTTCTACAAATATCGTACGTTTCTTGGTATCAATAATTGTTGATTGAAAACTCAAAACTATACTTTTTCCCCACTTGTATCTTCAATATGTGGTCGAATTTTAAGTAAAAATTTCTAAGTAAGAAGTCAGAATCGAGTAATTTTAAGATTGGAGTCGGAAATTCGGCGAAAAAATGTAATTCAGACTTTGAAGTTGACAGAAAAGCCAGATTCTGAATAGACGAAAATGAAATGTGCAAATAAAAATTACTAGAACATTTTTTGATAATCAAAACGCCTGTCATCTAAACTTGTTTTAATATATTATTGTCGCCTTCAACAAATTCAGCCTTATTGACTTATCGTCATCAGGTTAAATCTCAATTAAATGTATTTACCTCTATATCAAAGTCAATAGAACACTATGATTAGACTATTTCGTATGGGAAATATTACTATTGTCATTGGAAAAGTACCTAATTTTCAGTCTTTCACGTTTATTTCCATACAGAGTGTTACACAATCTCTCCAAAAAACTAGAAACTTGCACTGAAAAACAACTGAACTACCACCACGAATAATCGTTTTTGGCATATCAAGAAAATAATATTTGAAGAGTTCCTGAACACCCTGTATGTTGCACACTGAAATTAAGTCTTCATCTCTAAGGCTTTTCAACTATTTATTAAATGTGGGGTTCATCGCGGATGGTTTCATTTGACAAATTCTCAAATGTACGGTACTTGTCTTGTGCTCGTAGATTTATACTCACAAAAAACAATTGTTGGAGGCACTGTCAAAATAAAAAGCCTACTTCAAATATATAACTATACCATTCTCAAAATTTTTCAAAACATTACTACGAAAATAATTTCGTTAGTGGTCAAATTCAACAATCGCGGATATCACGAGTATCACTATAAATGTCAAAAACTCGAATAGATATTCGTTTTGGAATGATTTCTCACCTTATCACAGAAAATTTCAAATATTTTCAATTATTATACAGAGCTAAAGCTAATACTGTCTTGTTAAATTCTATAAAACTCTATAAAATATGAAATCATCAAGAAACATTTTGAGAATATAACTGGAATTACCTGAAGGATATATTAAAGGAATTAACTATTTTTTCATATACATTCACAATCAACCACACTTCAAAGAACACTCTCCATTTTATTCCAGAATATTTTCCTTCTTTTCATTCCGAAACGTTATTCTTCCACTTCTCTTCTCTGAAAGTCTCAAACATTTTATTGGTCATAGAAAATCCGTCACGAATATTACTTCTTTGAAGTGTTCTGTAATTTCTTTCACTAAATATAAACGGTAATAACGATCAAGTCCGAATATAAATAATTCAATTCATAGTTTGGTATTTTCGTATTCATCAGTCTTTTCTTCTAAAATTGTCTCTTCCTTATTGAAATCAGACTCGTCTGGTACGTTATCATATTTGCTAACCCTGTCCCTCATATTAGGATGGTTCTTCAAAGCGTCTAACAAGCCATCTGGTATACCTTTAGGCTTCATGCTGACGTCACTTTTTGATTCGTCGAGAACCTCCAACAGAATCTTCAAACAATTCTTTGAATGCTCCTCCGACTCTACGAACTGCTCCGGTATCAAAAGCTTTGCCCAGATACCAACCAAGTCCGATTTGGATCCACGATAGAGGGCCTCCTTCTCCATCAGCTTGGTTAGATGTCTTATAAGGAATATCAAAGTTTCTTTCTTTGGCAGATCCCTGATGATCCATATTACTTTCTGCCTGGTGGAATGTTCTAAGCAGTTTTTATTATCTAGAAGGAAAACAGATCAGTTTATTGTTAAATTCAAAAATAAACTGAACTTTAAATTGAGATAATCGTGTCATTAACAGCAAAACTCGAAAACATAAAACTGGAGGTCTCAAATTTGTCATCTATGCTGAAAACTGCAAATATTAAGAAAAAATTCTTTCGAAACAACTATTTCCACAGGACATTGGAATATATGAAAGGAAAAAATCCTCTTGAAAGAACTACTTTCATGTGAATGTTGTACTACCTACACAAAAATAACTTTTTCCCATTAAGATAGTACTCTAAATATACAGAGTGGTCCAACGAAAAGTATGCACCTTGCTTTTCTCCTTTTTTTTGTAAATTAACGCAAAAATGCTCGGACAGGTCAATTTTGCTTTTGAGGGGGACACATTTTAGATGTATTTTTCTACCTGTGCCTTCAACCCCCTAGCGAGGGTGAGTA